CCGATCAGACGGGGCTTGGACTTCCCCAGGTTGGGAAAGGGTTCCGGTCGTTTCCATGTCCATGTCCATGTCCATGTCGCGCAGCTCGAGCCGGATCGCACTAGTGCCTTCAAGGTTGCCAACTAGTATTGACTTGCCTTCGATGCCAAGCCAGTCTCTTGGACCCCATGCTTCTCCATGCCCAAAATAGGCTGCGAGACGGAGGGCGAGCGAACCACCATGACGTCGATGCTCGGAAACGGTGAAGCCATACCCCTCACCCGTCGTCACATTGCGCTTCCCCAGCTATTCTATACGGACTTGAATGCCCTTTTTCCGTCAAAAGTGCGGTCTGTAACACGGGCATCCTCTTGCCGGTGTTGTCTCACACGTTGAGCGGACCACCCGCCTACCGGAGCCAAGATACTTGACATTTTGCTTTTCGAACAATATTATTACCAGCTATTCATTTCACTACTTTGTTTTCATGTCATTTTACCACACTTTCCATTCCTCATGCCATGTCTTTCGTAGGTTTTTGTATCCGTGAGTGGCCGTCAAGGTTTGTTTTCTTATTTGAAAAAAAAAGCATCAGGCATGAGTGTCGAAATAAAATTCAAGCCAAGACTCGCAGCCTCGCTGCGCAGCGTGTTGCCATGCAGGCATCCCTCTCCGCCTGCAACCCCGAGCCTCGCCTCTATTAGATCCGACTGGTTGACCAGTGAGGTGCAACTCGACAGGGCTCGACGCGTTTCCGGGGAGCGGTTGTGACGGAGCCATGCATTAGCTCAGTTCGGCGGCAGCCAAGTCGTGATTGGACCTGATGCCCAAACGGCCAGGGGTGGTGACGCCGGCGAGCCTGTGAGTCCGAGGTTGACAATGACCTGCAATATTTCACGTGCCCTGTGCCAGTGCGGACACGAAGCCCCGGCCTTTTCCAGATTTGACACCCCAATATATTTCAACGGGCCGTGTGCTTGAAGCGTCTAGTTTTGGAAGTGTGCCCAGTGCTGACTGGCGTATTCTGTCGTGTGTGACTCCTTGACGAGCCCTGACACGCAGCACACAACGTCAGGCAAGGAAAACGAGCCGGATCATTTGTTAATTGGTTGGACCAGACAAGATGGCGTCCAGAGGGACATTCCTGGCCCCATGCCAATTTCTCCTTGCAAGCCTTTGCTCCGGATAGTCGGTTCTCTACGTCCATGTCCCCATAATTTGACTCTTTGTTGCCCAATTTGTCAGTGCGTATTCTGTGCTGCGTTTCTTTTCCCCGCATGACCAGCTGGGCTTGACCCTTTTAGGTTTCGGCTCTTACCCCAGATTACCCCAAATCACATGTCACTCGGTATTTCCCATCGCGGCCCCAACCCACCCAATGTACATGTATACATGAATGTGTATCGATTGAATACCAAATTCAAGTCAGCGTCCCGGCGCCAGCACTGCTACCCGACCATGTGGCGTATCTTGGCAACAGAGTTTGACGACAATGGCATCTCTACAATGCTTTGTTCTCTCGGTATAAAGTGCTCTTTGTAACTGTACATTGATACATGGTCCTTTCGAGACCGAGACTTGAGTAGGTGCAAGTATTTATTCGCCTTGTACCGATAGAGCTATCATTGCAGGCGGCAAGGCCACGTGTGTTTCCAAGGTGAACCAAGTATATAAATTGCTAGTAATTGCTAAATATGACAATGGCAGGTAACTAGGCTTTACCAGGACGATGTCAAGAGGCCTATCCAAGGTTTAAACTGCTGCTATTCATCCCTCGTTTGCTTCTTGTCAAAATGCTGATTAAATGGAAAGAAGCCTGATTTATTTCTCTTGCTTTTTTATTTATTTAAATACGCTAGCTGTCTTGTAAAGCCCTTGGATTGCTTATTATACTCGACCATAACGACTTAGCCATGCACAGTTCATACGTATACAACGACAAGCCATCGCACTACCGGTACACATTCGTATACAACTCTTCTCGACTACAATGTAACAAATAACCATGTGTCAGGACCGAAAGGGTACACGTGGGAGCTAGATATCGGGCAGTATTCACCACGCGCCCCTATTACTGCAACATGTTGCGCCGTGGCTCCATAGTTAACCCTGATAACCGCCGTACGAACATGAGAATAGGATTATTGACGCACGACCTGCAAGGGACTTCATGTGTTGTGTGTGCTCGTATCACTGCTCATGTAGCTACTACTAGCTAAAAGGCTCTACGAGACGGTCAAATCCAGCTGCTGGCCGGGGCAGCTTCTTCGTAAAGGCCAAACACCGAATTCCGAGATGCAACATGCAAAGTTTGCCAGAAACTCTCTCGCACTACCCCGCCAAGTATGCTGCTCACTACATTTGAGCACATTTGCCAAAAGTTGGGGCTCTAGTGGTTGCAGCCTTGACACGCTCCCGGCGTTTTCGTATAGTCACTTGGTCAATTCGATGAATCCCAAGTCACCCTTGACCTCATCGGGCCCAAAGACATTGCTCATGGCTTGGATGTTATAAACAGTCTAGGATTACAAAGTCCACAGGAGAGTTTTACGGCCTCACGGTTAATATTTTATTTCTTTGCTTATTCAACTTTTAAACGACAAGACCACGACTGCCATCTGCGAAACATCAAATCTGGGAAAGCACTCTTGTCCCAGTTGGACAGCAAGCCGCGTCTCGCTGGCTCGCCACCGTTCCGTCAACCGAGCCTTTGGGATTTTTATGGCCTCGTCCGTCCACAAGCTTGTTGCTTCTCATCATTCAGGATAAAAAGAGGACAACCCATCCTCTGTGAGCATTTGAAAAAACTGTCATTAGATGAATCGAGCCATTGCTCCAAGCCTTTAGCCCTTGCCACATGACCATTGGCGCAACGCGCATCCACAAGACGAAACCTGCAAAATTGACCATGCTCAGGAGATTGGGCCGTAAAACGACGTGCCCGAATCATGTGCAAAGACGGCACCTAGGAGCGACGGCAGTGGTTTTACTACTCCTTGGCTTGTACACCTCTCGGTCCTATATGTCGTGTACGTTCCCAAGGACACCTGCTCTTCCGGAAGTTGCAAGAGTCCACTTTACTATTTTGATACGAATGACGTCGACTCATCACGGACCCCACGACTCCGTCACCACTCGTGGCCGAGCTTTCCGAGCCGGCCGTTGTGAACGACCAAGGCGGACCATGGTTCTGGGACATTCATGTTTCAAGGTGTGCGCGGAAGGCGCGCAGAAGAGCATCAGCCGTTGGGGCATTGCGGTAGTTTGCTGGCCCAAAGACGAATGGATCCAATCCTGCCTACATGTCGACGTAGACTCGCGTCGACTTTCCACCGTGCGCTCGTAGCGCCGGACAAAAGAGCGGTCGGGATGCACCGAGCCAGATTTGCTGTTGGACTGGTGGCGCTCTTTGCACAATTTACACAGAACGCGGTTGTCTTGGGCCGTTGCGACGAGAGCATCAAGCGTACTTGGTCTTGTTTCTTGTCAAAATGTAAAGGGGGCCGGCCAGAGCTTCTGGACGAGGACCGGTATGGGGGTCCGGGCTACTGACTCTTGGGCCGTCAATTGAGGCAGTGACCTGGGTCAGTCCGTCTTGCATCGTAGCCGATTTGTTTTTGTATTTCCTGGTGGAATTTCTCCATTGTTTGTTTGTTTGTTTGTTGTTTTTGCTTGGCAAGCGGATGTAGTGTTACACATGCATGTAAGCTGCGAGGCCTCGGCAGCAAGCGGCTCATAACCACAGCCAACACCTAAGGCATCAGACCTCTTGACAAAGATGGAAAAGATGAAGGGATTGGAGAGATGAAAATTCAATGCCAAATAAAAGTAGCGAAACGACACTCAGCAAACTAAAATTCAAGGTCTCCCAACCTGTGGAGCGCCTGATGCAGAGCCAAGGCTGGCGAAATTAAGCTCCATTCAGTAGCATCTATTTTCTCTGCTATTAAGGCCGGAAGAAGAAGGTGAGCAGGACTCTCACCCGCATGAGGCTGATGCGTTGGTCACCCTCAACCCCAAGAGACTGGGTTACACTGCATTCCATTCCTCGATGTTTTTGGAAACATGCAGCAGACGCGCTTGATCGAAAAACGTGCAACATGAGTTTCGACAGCACCACGACGACGCCCGAGGGCGCAGACGCCCAAGGCCTCTGACGTCTTGGTGCCCTTGTGCAACTGATCGGGGTCGAGAGTCGGTCCGTGCCGTGACGTTGTGATACCCGTGTGACAGGGAATACGTACAGCCGAGACAAGAAATGCTCCGTGGAACCGTTGCATTGCGACGGCATGCAGGTTTGTGTCATGCTGGTACCACGCAGCGCGTAGCCAACCATTTATCCACGTTTGGGCTTGCTTGGATATGGGAGTGAAGAAGGAGGTCGGGCCATGCCGTCGCTGGATGTTTGGCTCATGGCTCATCAGTTTAACCTGGAGACTTATTCAATGTATGGTATGGTTCTCGTAAAGCATACTCTGTCCCATGTCCTATACGGAGTAAATAGTTTTCTTTTTTATGCCTAGCACAGTAGCCAATCAAGTGAAGCATATGTACAAATGTGCCATGTGAACAAGTACGCACAAGTCCATCAGATGAGTCATCAAAGATGCAAACTAGCCAAGGTCCAAATGACAAGCTAGCCAGCTAAAATGATGGAATTCACGTCTTTTCCATTGAATGCGGCCTTTTCTATGCCTTTTGATTCCAGCCGCAAGGGGGCTCAATTCCATCGGCAAATACCTTTCATCTAAAGACGTATTCCCCCGATCCACAACTGCCAATCGCGATACTGTGCTCTTCCAAATACGTAGTGTACATGTCACGTCACATACGAGCACGTCCTTTTCCATACTTTCATTCAAAGACTTCAATGTTCTGTATAGTGAACTCCTCAGTTATTTACCCAGTCATCCCATCATTCATTCCAGCACATAAAGAAACACAAGTGGTATAGTGGAAGCCATGAAACCCACAGCTTGCCCGCCCATTCACGAAAAAACACCAAGTCGCAGCGCATCCCATCAACAGCCCGGCCTCGGGGCCAAGCCCTCTGCCGAAGTCACGCGGTCCTTGTACGTTCTGGTCGCAAAATCCATGAAGTAATCGACGTCGCCGCACGTGCTCGCGACGCCAAAGGAAACCCGTATCGCGCCACCGGTAGGCAGGCGCGCCATGCGGAGGAAGTCGTCAAACGTGCCGCCCTTTTGGCCCACCAGGGGCCGCAGCGTGCTCGCGGCGACGCCAAAGACGGCCTCGCCCGCGCCCGGGTTACAGAAGCACCCGGTGCGCAGGGAGATGCGGGCGCGGCCCGACTCCAGCGCGACGAGGCGCTCGTCGACGAGGCGGCCCCGGGCGTCGAGCAGGTTGAAGGCGACGGTGCCCCCGCGCGACTCCGTGCCGGCCGGCCCGTACAGCACGGCCATGGGGCTGCCGTCGCCGTGCCGCAGCCCGAGCAGCCGGTCGATGAAGAGGCCCGTCAGGCAGCGCACGCGGGTGGCGATGGCGTCCATGCCAATGGCCGACACCCAGTCCAGGCCGGCGTGCACGTCCGGGATGGACAGGTAGTTGACGGTGCCGTCCTCGAAGGCGGCCTCGCCCGGGGCCAGCGCGTGCCAGGGGACGGCGACGGTGGCCGCCTG